ATAAGGTGTGGATGAGAGAGAGTGACACATGAGTCTGTCTCCAGGAGGATGGTCTCACTCAGTGACTCAGGCCAGTACTGGGACTTTCCCTGTGGAACAGCTATCACTATGACAAACAACAGAGACCAGGGACTGAGATCTCACTCTTTGGTCATCTCGACAACATTTGGTCAACATGACAATGCTGCAATCTCGTACAACCATCCATCAGAATGATCGATGTGTCTATTCAGTGGAGCTGTGATGGTTGCAGCTCTCTAATACAGTAGGTGTCCCGAAACTTCACAAACCCATACCTAGGTGATGTATGTATCTATTTCCACAATACCCGCAGAAAGTATAACACTAACATACTACAACATCGCGTTCAACTATTCCACGACTGGTTCAAACTATTGAACACTGAACAAAAGAGGCATTGAGTAATCGATCCCAGTTCTCCTGGTATCTCTTCAGAGGACACTCTCGAATCATATTGATATTGTCGAGTGGTAATAAAATGTGAGAAATGTGGGAATGTGTTGGTTCTCACAGGGGTAAATGTTTTCCTGATCTATTGAGGTTTGTGTTCTGGGAAGCTAGGCCACTTCGTAGGACAATGTAGGAACTACTGAGTTGCTGCAGAATTGAACTCATTAAACGACGGTTTTACACTACGACCATTGTGTACTTCTACCAACTGATATCAATAGCTAACTGGGAGGTGTCGTGCTGGTTTTCCACGGTCATATCATTAACATAGTCTGGAAACTCAAAGACTGGGATATCTCTCACTGGAAAAAGTAGATAAAACACATTATATCACAACCTATTCAGTTGTAGTCAAGTCAAACGCAATCTCAGTAGAAAAACAAAGGCCACATAATCACTGTCAATCATTGTTCTCCAGCCCTTTACCTCAAGTTCATGTCCTCTCTAACTGCTCAAATCTCTTGGAGGAGACTTCGGTCAGTTACTCTGTGACTTCCTCTTTGTCTTGTCACTTCTATATAACGTGGCACATGAATCAGGCTCAAGAAAACTTGTTGTTGTAAAACATTTTAAAACAGAACGATGCCTGCAGATGAAGACAAAAAGTCACGAGCAACAAGCGCAAGTTACCAGTTGTGAATGAAATCATCAGTATACGAATGTGGGTTACTCAAACTGCCTTCTAATCATTATAATTTATTAAAAAACAGATAGACATCGGAGGCATGGTATAACCTGGATCGTAGGAGAAGAACAGATCCGCCTTCAGTTCAGAGTAGCGATGTGCAACAGTGTGGGGCCATTGTGGTTGTGGTAGGTGCAATTCGGTCATGCTAGGTGGCATTGTGCGTGCTCCCAGTAATGGATGCCACAATAGTAACCACTAGTTACTTGTCGTAGCAGTGGTTGGTTAGCAGTGGTGTTGTGGTAGGAACTACTTGTGTTTCTACGCTAGTGGATGCTGTGGGATTAAGTAGTGGTGTTCATGTGTAGCTGTGAGGTGTCATGTTGAGGCAACTGCCCATGCTAGGGATGGTGGTCATCAAAAACAATGGTAGTACGGTCTTGTATCGACTGTCTTCATAGTTGTTGCCATACTAGTACTCTTTGTCATAGCAAGTGTACTTGTTGTAGCAGTTGTTGTTGTGGTAGGACTAATTGTGTTTGCTACACTAGTGTATCCTGTCATAGTAGTGGTGTTCACTGTAGATGCTGAAGCTGTCATAGTTGAGGATACTGCCATGCTAGGGCTATTGGTCATCAAAACTGTTGTAGTACTGGTAATATTGACAGTCTTCATAGTTGCTGACATACTAGTACTCATAGCAAGTGTGGCAGCAGTCGACGTCACTGTAGTATCTTTAGTATTCAACAAATTTGGGCCAGAGTTTTCTGCAGTTGAAGCAGAAGATGTCACTCCAGCAATATTTGTAGGTGTTGCAGTGCTAGTATGCACTGTGCTCAATTTTGCTGTGCTATATATTGTAGTGTTGGTAGCAGTTGATGTCATGATAATGTCCACAGTTTCTGATCCATTAGTAGTAGTAATGGCTGCAATTTGTGTCAGAGTTATAATCGTAATACTCATCTCTAACGTGATTGGAGGCATCATGGGAGCAAGGGAAGTTGTAGTGGCTGACATGCTGGACCTTTGAGTGTGTGTATTACTTGGTTCGATGATGACAGAGCTGCTGGTAGTCAGGATAAGAGTAGAAGCTATGATACAATTTTGCACAACACGTAAAAACCAGAATATACATGCAGTACTTCGGAGTTACTACCACCTGCTGTAACAGTGGTTGTGGTGACATTAACACTCTGACTGGAAACAATGGTACTCATTGCTGCAAGAAAGTAAAGCAGTCTCCAAACAAAATAATTTTACAAGTGAGGGTGTATATTACAAAATATGGCATCACTTTGGTAAAGGCTTTCACTTTCGAAAGTGCCGGAAATATTCCGAATTTTCAAATAATAGTGCAGGAAATTGTGTGATATTTCTCAAATCTTCCTGCATATGTAGGAAAATAAGAGAGTGGTGGAGGAAAGTTTCCTGCAAAATTCACAGAGTGACCGTGATTTTGACAATATTTCTTGCACTTGGCCTAATAGGACTTCTTATTTCTTTGGAGCATGTTGCAAGTTATACATGCTCTAAACCTCGATAGCTTGCATGTACCTTGAATGACTACTTTAACGTCGCTGAAGCTGGAGTGACTGGATACTGTAGCAGTGCAGCGGTAGACAACTATAGTGTTGACAGTGACATTCTCAGAGGTGGTCAGAACACTCTGATAGCCTCTCTCTGGAGATCCAGTTGTGGTGTAAAGAGTGGGCATCAGTTCAGATGTATGGCCAGACTGAGAAAAGATGTCTATCCGGGTCCATTTTATGTCCACAGGAATACTCTGTCCATCAACCTCAGCTCTGGCAGTACAGTTGACTGAGAACTGATTGTTTGGTGAGGTAGTGAGTGATTCAGGTGAGGTCTCTACGTATATCAGTATTGGATCTAATGAGAGAGTGACATAAGGACATGATGGCTGGAAGGAGAGGTAAGTGACTCACCTTGAATGACAGTGATAGGTCCAACCAGAGGACTGGGTAGGTGAGGTGACAGAGCCACTATGGAGATGTAGTAGGTGACTCCTCTCTGAAGACCATCCAGTGAGTGTGTGTCTGTCTCTCCTCCAGACACCCTGTCACTGATGACTGGTCCTCCCTTAGGCTGGTAGTAGATGACATAGCCAGTGACAGGATCACCTGGTGACTCCCAAGACACAGTGATATTGACATGTGCACTGTTGGACTCAGAGATGACTGCAGTAAGATTGCCTGGCTCTCTTGCCACTAAACATAAGTGACATAAAATAATGCTTCATACAATGAAATATGTATACCTGCAATTCTCTTTGTGCCACTGACTTCAGTAATGGGTGCCTCAGGTATATAGTCTCTAATATTGTTGCTGATGGTACAGTTGTAGGTCCCATTTCTTCTTCCTCTCACTCTCAATCTGTTGTCATAGACAGAGTTGAGAGATGTGTCCAGTATGAGCTGACTGGTCTCATGATATCTGTCTTCCTGTACTGGGACTCCATTTACTGTCCACTGGACAGTTGTGGCAGGTCCTCCATGAGTACGACAGGAGATAGTGAATTCAGGAACACTTGCTCTGAGCTCAGTGTGTAGAGTGAAGTTCATAGACAGCAAGAGCAATTGTCCTGTATTCTCCTATAGCAAAGTGTGTAAAAAAGAAATTTAGCTTACCATATGATCTCCTAAGGCTGATGTAGATGTAGAGGCTCTGCATATCTCCACTGGAATCAGGTATATCACATCTCCACAGTCCTGATGTGTGGTCAGTACAACCTCTCTGATGATTGAGACTGATCACTCCATCTCCTCTAGTGACATACAGACAAGTGGTCCCATCTGCTCCCTGGTAGACTGGTCTCCCACTCTCATCTCTCCAGCCACCAACATCAGTGTTATTGCAGCAGTTTACACTGTCAGTCACACACTTTAGAAGCACTGTCTCCATCATCACCAATATCATACAAAGAAGATGTAGGAATTGTTGGACAGAAAATCCTCCCGTGTTCAAACTGAGGCAGTGACTGGCAGTTCCCTAAACTCACTAAACTCAGTAAGAGTACAAACAACACAACAGTCATTGTAGTCCTGGTTAAAGAGAAGACAATGGTAAAGCTTTTCTAGCTACAACATAATTTTCAAATCTCTCTGCATCCACTCGCAAAGGAGATGTTTATACAATTTTGAGTTTACTTAATGTGCAACAATAAACACTGTGATGTATACATAGTTGGAAACTTGGTTTAGGTATAATAAGCTTTGTGCATGTGAAATCTCCGTTTTGTTCACTACAGACCATTTTTGTTTGTAGACCAAGAAATTTATGAGAATTAGCTACTGCTCAGTGCTCACTGCATACTTCATTTGGGAATTCTGATGCAAAGGTAATTTCTCCCATATCAACGAAAAATTGATCAAAATTGGATATTTATCGTGCTACATAATTAATATCATATTCATTACTATGGGTTTGCATATGACATTGGCATACTTATCTCATGTCAGGTATGTTCATTAGCTACATAAGAGTCTTGAAGTTGTGGTATGCTTCCATCCTCTCCACAAAGTCAGCCAGTACTTCATAACAGAAGACATAGTGATCCTTCATGTGAAAAGAAGAGAAATAGTCACACTGAAACCAGAGCAGAGACCTACAGTGTTGGGTATGACTCCAGGTCTGTGTATGCGAGCAGACTTGATGGCCTGGAAGACATCCACCACACCTTCTGTCTTCAGACGTTCCAACTGAGAGTGGATGACCAGGAATGTCCCACTCCGAACTACCCCATCACTGAGTGGGAGGGAAAAGGCATGTCGCTAACTGCCGCATAATATGGTTCGTACATAATGAAATGGTGGGTGGTGGATGGTGGTTCAGATAGTTGATGAAAAGGCTGTGGCTTACTTACTTTCCCCATCTCCACACATCTAGTCAACATGACTATAGCTTCAACCTTGTACTGACACACCATCCTCCAGAAGTCCTCTACCGTCTCTTTCAATGGGCCTTCATAAATTTCAAGATGGATTCAAATAATGGGTAAAACATTACTGACGTACCTTGTGCAGCAATGTATTGTTTCTTCTTGCGATATCCCTAAAAAGTACATGTACAGGCGTGTTACTGTCCCCAGTGTATAAATCATTACCAGCTACCTCAACACTACTTGCTCCACCAAATCACGGCTATGAGAAAGTATGGACACTGTTCTCATCTCATCTGGGCTGTGTAGCTAAGAGTTATCATCATGACGCTGTTGCACACACTCGGTGTTTTGGTTGCGCATGCGTGCATAGCTAGCGCAGCGCCGCGCCGTTTGTTGTGCAGTGTGCATGTGGGAGCCAGATGACGATGTTCTTCTACTCCGTAGTTCTAGTTCTGGGAGCGAGCCTCTTTGCACAGGCTATTGCCAGTTTCCCGATTCCTTCAGTGGACTGCCAGAGTCTTCCCCAGGCCAGCTACCCGTTCTGCGACCCAAAACTGAACCCCGAGACCAGAGCCACGGACCTGGTGTCCAGACTCACCGTGGACGAGCTGATATCCCAGACCTTTTACTTAGCTCCGGCCATTTCCAGGCTGGGGATCAATGCCTACAACTGGAGGTCCAACTGCGCCCACGGATGGACTTTGTCCGGGGGCCCGGACTGGCTCGGCTATACCTGGACCGTCTTCCCTGCCCCCATTGGGATGGCCGCCACATTTGACAAAGACCTTGTGCTCAAGGCTGGCCAGGTGACTTCCACGGAGGGGAGAGCCCTTCACAACGAGATAATGACGCACTACAATGGAGCCAGTCAGGAAGCAACCGGCCTCAACTGTTACTCTCCAGTCGTCAACCTCCTCCGTGACTCGCGCTGGGGGCGAGCCCAGGAGACCTTTGGCGAAGACCCCTACCTACTCTCTCAGATAGGTGTTGCCTATACTAAGGGGCTACAGGAGGGAAGCGATCCGATGTACGTAAAGATTGCCGCATCTCCCAAGCATTTCTCGGTGCACAGCGGCCCGGATAATATCCGAAACTGGTTCACCGCCAACACGACACTCCACGATCTGTACGATACGTACCTGGCGGCGTTCAAGTCGCAGGTTATAGGAGGCAAGGCTATGCAGATCATGCCGGCTCTTAGTGGAATGAGATGTGAGAAGGAGGAAGACGGGGCGCCGGATGCAGCAAACCCCTTCCTGCTCTCAGACTGTCCTTCGTGAGCAGTTTGGAGCCCCGAACATATCGGTGGTGTCAGACAACGAGGCGATTGAGCAGGTGTACAGCGACCATCACTTTGCCTCGTCGTACGAGCAGGCAGCTGCTCTGTGCATGAATGCCAGCACTGATCTCGATCTCGGTGACACTACGTACATCAAGTACTTGCCCGTAGCCCTCAAAGACAATCTCGTTCAGTTAGAGACCATACAGAGGGCTGTTTGGAGGAGCTTATACCTTAGAATCAGGGTGGGCGATTTTGATCCAGTTTCTCTGGTTCCGTACCAGTGGATCAATGGCAGTCAGATAAACACGCCCGATAGTCAAGCTCTCAATCTCAAAATGACTGCTGAATCTATCGTTCTTCTCAAGAACACCGGAACACTACCACTGAAAATCCTCAGCATCAAAAAGTTGGCTGTGATCGGGCCAAATGCTAACGCCTCAACCGCCTTACTTTCAAACTACCAAGGCATTCCTGCGTTCATAACAACCGTCTACGAAGGCATAAAAAGCACCGGCGTACCAGTGGAATACGCCCCGGGATGTCCGGATGTGACCTGTGCTAACAAGAGTAGCTTCAGTCAAGCGCTTGCTGTTGCAGCTGATGCTGACTTTGTGATTGCAGTGATGGGACTAGACGGGACGGTCGAGGGCGAGGGACACGACAGGGTAAACACGACATGCGACTCGCAACCGGTCGACAACCTAGCTCTCCCCGGCTGCCAAACTGCTCTAGTAGAGGAGATTATAGCCATCAATCCACGAGTCATTCTGGTACTCATAAACGGAGGCCCCGTCAGTATCCCGACTCTTTACGCCAACAGTGGAGTTCTGGCCATCCTTGAGGCTTTCTATCCCGGACCCTTGGGGGGAAATGCGGTTTCTGATGTTCTATTTGGGGAATACAACCCTGGAGGAAGGCTACCCTACACTGTGCTACATGACACCACCCAGCTCCCTGTTGCTACCGACTATAACATGACCACGCCTCCTGGAAGGACCCATCGCTACTACACGGGAAAACCTCTGTTTCCATTCGGCTACGGGCTCTCCTACACGACCTTCAAGTATTCCGGACTGGTTTTATCTGCTAGCACAATAACGGTGTGCGGTACACTGAATGTAAAGGTGTCTGTTCAGAATGTTGGGGATGTTGCAGGAGACGACGTAATCCAGGTCTATGTCGAGCCTCCGAGACTGTCGGGAATGCCGTTTATCCCCAATATTCAGTTGGTTGGTTTTGAGCGAGTCAATAGTTTGCCAGTGGCTGGAAACTACACGGGGAGCTACGAGGTGAATGCCTACCTGCTGTCACTGGTGGACAGGGATGGTGAACACTATGTGTTCCCGGGGTCGTACATTGTCATGGTGACTGACGGTGCCAACAATAGACTGACTGCTCCCTTCGTCATCGAAGGCTCTGTGACAAACGTGAAGGAATGCCCAGGAGCACCTTCTTGTCTTGCCTGTTGAAAACACCCGACATTACTACAGTGGATGCCACTTAACATATATAATTCATACGAGACTGTAAATTTAATGTATAGGCTGTGGGAATCCACAGCCATAATATTATAATTGGTTATTAATTTCATTTACACACGTTTGCACCATTCTTTCGCACTGCCTGTCGTGAGATGGAGCAAGACGGGCTGATTGGTGATTGCTACTATACCAATGGGAACAGACTGCGCCCCTCTTCTGGCAAACCTCTACTTGTTTAGTTTTGAATATAAGTTCATGAAAGCCTTGCTGAAGAATAACAACAAGCCCGAAACAGCTGTCCAGAGCTTGCATCTTTTTTCTCTTGGCATCACATGGTTTTTCTACATATCTAAGGCTAAGCATTTCTCTAACACATTTAGATACATAGATGATTTATTAACTATAAACAACCCTTCCTTTGAGAATGAAATAGGTAACTATATATCCATCAGAGTTGATACTTAAGAAAACAACTGAGAGTGGTGATACTGTCTCATATTTAGACATAGGTATTTCAGTTAAAGATGGTATTTTCTGTACAACAGTATACGACAAAAGGGACAGTTTCAACTTTCCCATTGTAAATTTTCCTTTTATGAAGAGTAATATTCCATCTGGACCCGCATATGGGGTATATATATCGCAACTCGTTAGATTTGGACATAATTGTAGTAGTTTTGATGGTTTCATAGAGAAAAATAGGAATATCACTACCAGACTAATTAAACAAGGATTTTTGTACCATAAATTGGTGAAAAGTTTTAAAATATTCTACACAAGGTACACTCATCTTATGACCAAATATGGAGTCTGTGTGAAGAGACATATTTCTGAGGGCATTTGTGGCCCTTGGGAATGCCTCCCATCATTATACAGAAACGTCACTGTTCGACGCCCACGTTTATAAATCGTGGCTTGTCGAACATACCTCAGCCCCCTTACTCCACGGGCTCACTATAATTATAACTCTTCGTTTTTGTCGTTTCTGTCAGTCAGTGGTGATTCTTTGCTGAAGACCATGTCAAGTTGCAAGGTGTGTGAATGTGTATCTGAATTGAGTCTGGGCAGTACCGGCAAGAGAAAGGCTCGGGTCGAGTGGGTAGAGTTCACCGGTGGTCAAAGATTTCTTTAACCTACCACCCCTGGTTCTCAAGGCCAGGGCACCCACAATGCCTAAGCCATGCTAGCTGGTTCTCTAATGGTACTGCCCTACATTTCTACATTTGCGATACTGCTATTTTTGGATGCTAAAATATTTATATATATTTTTTATATGGCTCACTACTATCCTTTTGATACCATTTCTATCGTCTGTCATTCAAACTTAGTCATACGTGTCTGTCTCATCATGCTACCACTCTGTACTAGCTCGCGCGTGCGCATATAAGTTGATTTGCTAGCCCTCGGTTTGTGTTTGTGTTTTATCTCTGTAGATGTCATGTGAAGCCCCAGCAGCCCTTCTCACACTTCTTTCTCTTCCTTCTTTCTATATAGTATGTAAGTAAAGCGTGAGCTGTTATTTTACATCATGGCATAGAGAGTATACTATATTTTGGTGGGAACAAAACTTTCTACTAGTGCTTCAAAATGTGAGGTAGATAGCTACCAGCTAAATACACTACTAAAATGATGTTCTATTTTTTCTGATGACATTAGCTTCTTTGGTGATGAATGCTACACGAGTGCCTTGAAGTTGGCGTAGATATCCATATCATCAACGTACCTGGACAACACCTCATAGCAGAAGACATAGTGATCCTTTGACAGAAGAAGCAAAGCCACTCTCATGATATATACACAAACAAGATATAGACCTACAGTGTTGGGTATGACTCCAGGTCTGTGTATGCGAGCAGACTTGATGGCCTGGAAGACATCCACCACACCTTCTGTCTTCAGACGTTCCAACTGAGAGTGGATGACCAGGAATGTCCCACTCCGAACTACCCCATCACTGAGTGGGAGGGAAAAGGCATGTAACTGCCGTGCATAATATGGTTTGTACAAACCTGCACATGACCACAGACTTCTTGTTGGATGATTTCATGAGAGCACCAGTGAGCATTTGCAGCAGTGTGATAATGGACTTAGAGTGAGGTAGCCCCCCTTTTGGCCAGCTAATTAGCTGCAAGGCATTCACTATGAGTGGCGTTTGACTTGTAGCATCCTCCACAGATTTTACTTCCATCCTCCTCTCCACGATGTCACCGTGACCTCTGACCTCGACTAGTCTGACAGAGAGTCTCCCACACACCATCTCCTCTCCCTCCTCACCTGGCCAGTAGGGGTAGCTGCTCTCCTGCAGTCCATGACACACACACCAGTACACACCCTCTGTATGTCTGGTCTACAGACCTGGCCGTCTTCCTCCAGCTGACACAGCATCACGATACAGCCACACTTGTACTCCCACATCATCCTCCAGAAGTCCTCCACTGTCCCCTCCAGTGGACCCTGAGTTGCTATGTAGGCACCATTCTGCCTGTACCCCTATCCAGACACGAGAATGAATCATGGCATTAACTGAGTAGAAACTTTGAGAGCATGGCCTGGGCTAAAAGTTACCAAGGAGATAATGTGCTTGGGCAGCCAAGCATTCTGCGCACATTTAGATTGTTCACTTAATGGCTCTCCCTATCTGCGCACAATTTCTCGGAAAATTTTACGAAAATTGTGCACAGGGAGAGGGCCTGGGAACAAAGCTATGAAGCTGAAACGTACGTCAACAAATGAAGCATTGATGTAGGTGGAGTCTGGTTCCTGGTTGAACCTCAGGTTCACTCTGTACAGGTCATCTGTGGGAGGGGGGTTAAACCAGCATTACCATAAGAGCACTTACATGCACTATCTATCAAAGCACACAATGGGCCATCTAGAAAATAGGTGCTTAGCTTGTGTTAGTGTTGTTTTTCCCCCACACACTCAAGAAAGCATAATACTACAATATTACATGCATAAAGGAAAGAATTGTGTGAGGGCACAGATTCAACAAAGTGTGGGCTAAAATGCCCTGTTCCATCTGTGAACAGAGAGTCACAGTTACTTTTTCCACAATGTGCTCTCAGAAGGAGTGATGGGCAACAACTCACTTGGCAGGGTGTTTGCATATCTGTTCTTTCTGACATTCTTCACTTCGCTGCCTCCCTTGAAGGTTCCCTTGTGCTGGCTATCCAACTCCATCAAATTCTAATACAGCAACAAACTTAATGTTTGTCCACTAGCTCTAGATCTCTAGCTGCAATACTTGAAAGTGTTTTTGAGCCTTTGAAATTCCACCAGTTCCTCCTTCAATACTGCTGAGAGACTCAGTGAAGGACCTGAGACTGGATGCAGTCACCTCTGTCTCTCCACACACCACCAGCTCACTCAGAGCTTGGTGAATGAACTCATACTGAGCCTTTAGGACACCCAGACACAGTCAGATTAGGAAGCCCACATTAGAGTGTCCTTACTTGAGTCTGAACCATCTTCATACGTTGTGTTCTCAGATTTCTGACACACTGGCAGACACTGAGGGTGGCCTCAGCCTTCATCTGCTGCATCATCATATCCAGAGTGATGAAAGTCCCGGTGCGGCCCACACCTGCACTGCAGTGTACCAGCAGTGGCTGGTCTTGGGAGGCAGCAGGGAACAGTTTACGGACATGACGAATGAACCGTATGACAGACATGACATTGTCTGGAACTCCGTGATCTGGCCAGGCTGTGTAGTGGAACTGAGTCACTGTCACTGACTTATCGTACTTCAATTCCTAAATTAATATGTGAGTGCAAAGTAGTGTGAAAATTACGACCAATAGATGCCTCTAATTATACATTTTTGATTTCAAGCTTCCTTATCTGATAATCGGCAAAAGTGAGAACGGATGTAAGAGTGGTGGTGAAGCTGTCTCCAGAAATACTATCGTTTATTCTGTCAGGCCAGTACTGCAGGCACTTTTGCTGCAATAATGGAATTGTGGGTGGTGGATGGGGGTTCAGATGGTTTATGAAAATGTTGTGGCTTACTTTCCCCATCTCCACACATCTAGTCAACATGACTACAGCTTCAACCTTGTACTGACACACCATCCTCCAGAAGTCCTCCACCGTCTCTTTCAACGGACCTTTATAAATATTCAAGATGGATTCAAATTATGGGTAAAACATTACTGACTCACCTTGTGCTGCAATGTACTGTTTTTTCTTGCGATATCCCTAAAAGTACATGTACAGGTGTGTTACAACAGCTTCCAGTAAACTTACGTCAATAAATGAAGCGTTGATGTAATCTGATCCATGTTTCCCGGGAATATTAGTCAGACACACTCGAGACTCGTCAACTGTTGTGAGGAAGTTTATCTCTATCTCCACAGTTCTTCCTCATTACTTACATGGATAAATATTCTTGAATTTATTCTTTGGGATGTTATGTGGAAGACAAGCCACTTTGCTCTCTGACTGAAACTGATCTGGAAGCTCCTATATAATATTGTGCTCCTTCAAGATATTACAAGACAAAAAGCTGAAAGTTACCTCATATTCATTTGCCAGATGGGTCTTTTTATTTGTCCCTTTTCTCATTCTCTTCAAATATTCAGGGAACTCAATAACTGAGATAGCACCTGTTCCATCCAATAAAAGCAGTATAATGAAAACAAGCATTCCCCTCCCTTAATTTCTCCATTACCAACTGTTGTCTCCAGCTCTAGTGAAGCGTTTTCTTCTACTCTGTCAGTGATCTCCTTTAACTCATGCCCCTCAATTGCATGTCGCTTTTTGTTGTCCAGTGACTGAGCCTTCCTTAGTTTTCTAGTCAAAAAACACACAAAGAATGTGGACATAATGCTCTTGTTACTTACCTACACTTGGAGATAATGGTAAACGTAATGAGAGAGATAAGAAGTAATCCAATGGCTATAGCCACAACTGCTATGAGCCCTGCGACAGTGAGCACCTCTGTTGCATCAGAATTATGGCTATTTTCATCGTCTGCAGAAGTACAAATTGTCTTGTAAAAAACTTCCAGTAACAAAAATTAATGTTACAAAGACTGACCTTTTGGCAAAATTGATGACTT